CGTTTTCCTTTTTTTCCTTCTCTTCCCTGAGCCCGCACGCGCGCGCGCGGCGGGGATGCCGTTGGAATGCTCGACGGTATGTTGTCTTCGCGAAATAAAACGACACTTTTTCGAGCGGGGAAAAAATTGAGGGAGAAGCGGCAGGAGAGAAGCGAAACATCGTAACGCACGGACGGGGGATAAAAGCACGCGAATGAAGGACGTAAAAATTGCGGAAACTTTGTAATTGGAGGAACCTCTCTCTCTCTCTCTCTCTCTCTTCCTTCCTCTCACCCTCTCTGTTCTCCCTCGATATTGCACTTTTGTGTTTGTTGTGTACAAGCGTGCTCATGTGTGTACGTAATAATAAAACTAATGCACCCGGGGAACATCATTCCCGCCCGAAGGAGACGAAGGAATAATGGAAAAAGAAGAAAAAATGTAACCAACATATTCTCGTTAACCGTTATTAAGCGTAATCCGCGCGAGGCGCGACATGTAAACGGCAAGTCGGTAAAATAACGAAATAAGCGATTAGCAGTTGCGTATTTATCCGCGAGGTCGGCCGGTGAAGCTCTTATCTCGAATACCGGCGGAGGAATAAAAGTGGTTTACGAGGACTCGACGAGCGGCATGTTACGCCGTAAAGCCGTGCTTTCCCGTTTTGCCGCCATCGAGGCATAAACAGCGGCTCGAATCGCGGGTTCGTGCGCGCGGATTGCAATTTGGCTGCCGGCCAAAGCGTGAATCGCACCCACCACCCGTTCGCGCTGCGCTGCGCTGCGCTGCGCTGCGCTGCGCTGCGTTGGCTGACTGGTTGGTTGGTTCAGTGAGACCATTCCTTTTTTTGTTCCGAGGCGCGTGACGATCGCCGTTTTATTGCGGCAATCGAAAGTGAATTTTCGATTTCACGAATAACCGTCGATACCAGAAAGCCCGTCCGCGCCGGCGCGGGCCGTCATATTTCAAGGACTAATTGCCGAACGGGACTGCCGTGATATCGCCGCGGGTGGCGCGACGACACCCTGTCGTGTGTGCACGGGAAGGGTTGGAATTGTTCAGCCTGCGGTCGGTCTAACGTTAAAGTGAGGTAGCGCGTTTAGCTCCACATATTTGAATATCCAACGCGACACGTTCCACATGTTCCTCTTTATTCACCTTTTCCTTGATTTTGCGAACGGCATTGTAAACTTAAAGCTCTCGGAGGAGCCATGGAGATTGTTAAAAATATAATTTGCAAGTTTCTTGAAGATAATGCGTCTTCAAAGTTTGAGATGATAAATTTATAACGTCGTTGGAATAAAAGAGGGGAGAGGAGAGACGGAATAATGCCTTCGGAAGAAAAAGTGGAAGGCTAGGAAAAGGAGATTCCGGCTCAACTTTGCCTGAAAATGCACAAGACGAAGTTTAAGCTCGTGCATATCCGTACGATTCCACGTAAATGCGCAAATCTCGCGCGTACGCAAATCGATAGAATAGCGGGTCTCGATTAATTATCTGCATCACGTGTGCCCCTAAAATCGCGAATTAGCAATTCAAGAGGCGATAGCACCGTCGATTTGCGAGGGGTGTTCGCTATTTCGAAGCAAGAAGGCGGATGACACGATCGAAATCGCGTGACCGCCGCCGCCGCCGTCGCCGCGTGCGCGCATACACATACACCCGCCGTCGGCATAAATTATTTATGAATTACGACTCATCGGTAAATCGTGGGTAAATGTGTGTGCATGTGTGTATTCGCGCGTGCATTCACGGACGCGTTCGTGCGCGATGTGCGGCCGACCCGTAGGAGCCGCATATTCTCGATGGTAATGGTTCGTCATCGCGTTCTCGCGCGTAACACACGACGGTGGGGCCTTTCTCGGAAGGCGATTCGACTGCGAAGTTTCTCCGCTCGGGTTAATCCCCGGGTTAGGAACGGCGTGTCGGTTACGCGGCCGTTGGGCGGTTTTCCGCGCAGCACGGCGACGAGTGTGCGTGGGAAACGTTAATTTCGCGCTTATCTGTCCGCCCACTCTCTCGCGCAACCGCCGCGATCGGTCGATCGTGAATTTCCCCCCGTCGCACGTTGAACGCGCCGGATAAATCGAGACTGACGTCTCGGAAAAGGATCCTGCGAAGGAGAATCCGCGCGACGATGCGCAACTTATTCTCTCTCTCTCTCTGTAGATTCTTTTCTGCAGCGGAACAAAATTCTGCAGATTCTCGCGCATGAAACTGATAAAACTCGTATAAAATCTCCTCCTCCAAAGATTCCTACATAAAATCTAAAAATGATAAAAGTGCTTTCATATATTTATATGTACAACCTGTGTGAAATTCTCACTCTGTGAAAGAGCTCACTCGAGAGAAAATTGGCATGAAAACTTCAGCAGGATTTCCACGTCACACCGACGTGTAAAAATTCGAGAGATTCTTACGACGAGAGTGAATCGACGATCGCGTAATACAATTTAACAACATATAATTTAACAACAACCGTCGAGAGAGCGCGAGCGAGCTGTTTCTAAAGGACTGTCGGCTAACGCGGAGAGCGATTCCATAAAGTCGGATAATTGTAACAACTCGAGCGCACGTGAAGGGACAGTTACACAGGCAGCGCGCCGTGCGACGCGACATTATCATAAATTGCACGTATTCGCCCGAATGCTGTCACGACAATTGCACTCGCTGAGAGCGCATGCGAAGTCGCACCGCCGATTTACCGCGGTGCCGCGGGGTCACGGCGATACAATGTTTTGCCTCGCGAGTATATCATAAAAAAATACTCACTGTCCTCGTCGTTGGTCGCGGTAGATAAGACACCTCCACGTACGTCTTCGCGAGGTGCGCACGCAAGTCCTCTACACGCTCGAGGAAACGCGTCGCGATTGTTATCTCGAGAAACAGCCGTGTAATTCGCGCGATCGAATCGAAAGCTTCTGCTCGGGAAGACGCAAACCTGAAAGAAGCGCGTCGCGGGCTCGCCGATACGTAGGGCGCCCCGGAACTCGCGCGCCCTTAATTTCACCGGGAGGTGAAATTTCAATTTGGAGATGACTTTCACGCTCAGCGAAAAAGCCAAGCGACGCTGCTATTACTCGCGAAGATCCTTGGATACCTTTGCAACGTATCAAAGTAAAATTCTATCAAGACGCTACACTTGAAAACAGTCGAAGGGAATAATTATGTTAGCCCCGGCCGACGTTAATTACTTTACAAGGACAATCATCTAATTTCGGCACGGTAGAAATTAATTATGCATTGTCTGGGAGGCCTCTCGGCGAGATTACTCGCGCGAGTTTCAGCCGTCACGCTCGCGACATCTCAGCGGCGAATCAGCGCGAAGCGCGTTCGGTGCACCGAGATTTTTTCCGCGGACGACTCGCCGATACACATAGTCGCGAGGAGATAAAAGAAGCAAAAGTTCCCAAGCGGCTTACACGTGTCTGAAAATTCTATGTCGGCCCCTCGTCGCCGTCGACGAGAGCGATTCTCGTTTTATGAAACTTGCTAAAATCCGAGCAACGAGTACCGCCGAATACCGTGTGCTGCGTTAGAGCTTAGGCGCGCGCGCTCGTTCGTGCGCTGTTTGCGCTTTAATCTCTGGATTTGTGTTTCAGTGTGCTCGCGAGTATACACGGGGGCAAAAGCTGCCTCGGACCCTCGAACACGAAATAACAAAACACGACGCTCATGCCGCGAGAGACGAGAAATATCTCGTGCGCACCTGACATACACACACACACACACACACATGCACAATGGTCCGTTTTGTCGAACGACGCTTCGACGAGCGTTTCAATTTGTTGCGCCAACGGCCGCGGTAACAGAGAGGACGTCTGTTTCGCACCGGTCCGCCGCTAATTACCTGCGCGAGTTTAGATTGAGAGGTCTCCTTGACAATGAATGAGTGTGTGAAATTTCGCATACGCTGTTCTCTCGCATCCGCGGCGCGAGTCGTAGGTCGCGAGTCAAGCGTCAAACGAGCGCGTAGTTCGCGACAACCTTCGTTTCCTTCTTTTTTCTTTTTTGCCCTCGTCGGCGAGCGACTCAAGCGGGAAGAAGAAACGGCCCGAAGATAAAAGCAAAGAACGGGGATAAGCGCGGGAGAACCGCTTCCTCGCGTATTTCTTCGCGTTCGACGACAAATTAACCGCTCTCGTTCGCCGCACCACTGGGCTATTTTTCGCCTCCCCCGACGTTATATACGGGCTGATTTCTATCACGGAACGGAGAGTCGGCAGACTATTGCGCGCAGGCGGAGCGGGGCATTGGGTACGAGCGGATTCGCTTGAACCGGCCCCGTCCACCGGTCGTACAATCGGGTCTGGATTTTCCCACTGGTGAAGGGAACTGCTGTCGGTGAGGAGTGAGAGAGAGAGAGAGAGAGAAAAGGAAAAGGAGAGAAAAAGGGAAGGAAGGAAGAAGGGACGGAAAGTTGCTTGTCCCGACGGAAAGCGTCGGACAGGTATTAAGAAAGCACTCGTCGCGATCGCTCGAACTTTGCCGTGCCATTTCGGAGATTGGATTCTTATGGAGGAGTTCGTATCAATCGTCCGTTTACCCACAGAGACGAGCCCTTTCTCCGCGAGACGTCATGCGAGACCGACCCCGATACGATATAAGCATAACGTCGGAAAGATCGTATGAAAAGCTCGACGTAGGCCAGGAGAGAGAAAGAGAGAGGGAGAGAGCGAGAGAGAGAGAGAGAGAGAGAGAGAGAGAGAGAGAGAGAGAGAGAGGGAAGTTTCCCAGGTGGCAACGGTTCCGCAATTGCCAATATTCGGTGCGAAGAAGAAGCTCGCGCATCGACTTCGTTCGCCGGCTTTTCGGTCGGGAATAACTTTGATTGAGTTTTTTCGCTCGTCGGCAACTTTTTGTCACTTGGTCCGTTCATATCGTTATTTATCCCGGATCGTTGTTCCTTCCCATTTTTCTCTTTCTCCTTCTATTTCCACCTTTCTCTTCCTGATGCCTCTTTCGCACGCTCCGAACGAGAGTTTGGCAAGAAACATTGCGAAGAATTGTTAAAAACTCACGTTACTGATGCGGAAACGAGACGTCCACGCGTAGCCACTTTTCTGCGGTCCCTCGTCTACCTACAACAGCAAAACAACAAACGAAATGAAGTATGACGAAGAAAATGAATAAACGGATGGGTGGATGGATGGACGGACGAATGGATGGGCAGATGGATGGATGGACGGACGGTGCGAACTGCAGCACACGCGACACAATACAGCGGATATGAGTTGGATAACGGTCGAAGAGAGACGGGAGGGAGATTCGACCGGCCGGCTGGCCGGCGAGTGGGAGGGGAACAAAAATTACGAATAAATAGCGGTTATAATAGCGCGCTATCGTTGTATTATTATGCCACCCTCGTAGCATGACTCGCGCGAAACAGCGTCGCGTAATGCAACGCTTCGTATAATGCAACGCGCCGCGCCGAGATAGAACCTCGTGGGAAAGAAGGAGAATTTTAATAAACCGGCGAATTCACGAGAGAGCCCCGCGACTACAAAAATAAAGGGACTCCGAGTGATAAGCACGCAACGTTGAAGCAAGGTGTATATATGTGTGTGTGTGTGTGTGTGTGTGTGTGTGTGTGTGTGTGTGTGTGTGTGCGCGCGCGCGCGCGCGCGTGTGAGGGGGGGGTTATCTCGGGACCACGTTTCTTGAAGAAGCGTATTTCGGAGACGAGAACAATGACCATCAATTATTTGCGATTAATTCGCAGAGCGAGCGACGGCAAATCGAGCGAAAAAGAAATCGTAGCTGCGACGCGATCAACACGATAATAACGCGGTGGCGGCGGCGGTGACGGCGGATTTAAAGCGCAATGTGAATGAAAACCGAGCGAAATAAAGACCATCATAATGACGCGGCGTCGTTACTTTTTTGCTCCCCCGCTCTAACGCTCGCGCGATCCGCATTTTCAACACGGGAGAAAAGTAGACACGCTGCATGAATTCCCGGACTTACGTGGATTCGAGTTACACACAGTGGTCGCCCACACGAACGCGCCCGTCTGTCGACGGAATTTGTTTGCCAGACGGCCAGAATGGCGTTTGCCTCCCCCTCCCCCCTCCTAACCCCTCGCCTACTCCTATTCTTTCCGCGTTCTCGAGTTTTGACAGACTATAATAAGCTTCTCACGTTTCGTCGGCAATTTCATGCGAAGATGACGAAATATTCGTGCGCGCGTTTTAACGCGCCTTCATCACGACGCGTTATATTTGTAGGTCTAGGTAAATATTAGGAGACCCTTCGTGTCTAATCTCTGTCAGACATTTAGTTGACCAACTCTGTGAGGGCCATGAGAGAATTTGTCTTTCGCAATTGTGCAATTGTTGTATTATCTGTAACACTGTAATAACGTATCTGACACCGTGAAATCAGTCGACGAAAAATCGGAAGCAGCCGAGAGACTCGTAACGACGCGTGGCTGGTTTCGGGCGATCGGGCCAATTTCGCATTTTGAAAAGGAATCACTCATATCCAGCGAGTTCGCTGCCACCGAGCTAATGTGATCCCCGTGAAACACGAGCGCGTCCCATTGGGCGATGCGATCGCGTACCTTGTCGCAGGCAGATTCAATTAAACCCGGGCGATCAGACAACCCTGCGCGCGCGAGCGAGTACCGAGTCGAAGCGGCTTCGATTTTCGGCGACAGTACATTAGCGGACAAAAGTTCAAGCACGCTCAATCCGGAGAGTTTCTCCGGCATCGGTAGTTATACGGTAGAGCGAAAAACAGGGAAGAAGTACAAGAGGAAAGAGGGAGCAATTAGGACACACGTGTACACAATGATATTCGAAATCCAAGGTATTCCATTCCGTAAATCCTTCGAGAGATTACCCACGATTTACGACGCGTTTTCGACTCGTCGAACACTCGCCGGTCCGAGAGAACGCACGGGCGAAATGAATATTGATCTTTTACACCGGCTTGATTTTAGCGGGCGGACCGACGGCGCGACGACGGCGAAAGGACGCACGATAAATAAACGTAGCTCGGACGGGAAATTCGATTCAAGGAGTCGTTTGGTCGCTTTATTCACGGTCCTCGACCTCGCCGACGAAGGTATTCGCCCCTTCGTTCACGACGTGTTTTATCGCGTAATCAAGCCGAAAGCGAGATCTATGATCTTCTCAGGTTCTCTCTCTCTCTCTCTCTCGTTCTCTCTCTCTCTCTCTCTCTCTCTCTCTGTCTGTCTGTCTGTCTGTCTGTCTGTCAGAATATCTAGATGAGAGAGGGAGAGGGAGGAGAGAGGAAGGATACTCCCTTGGCGTTCCCGATTGCTCCTTAAAATCCGTTTTCCGAGGGGTGATAATACAACGGAAATCCGAGCCGTCTCTGAGAATCATTTCGTAGGCATATGTCACTGCGCATTCCGAGTATATCCGATTCGGAGAATTTCTCGGAGTGTCAGCGGAAACTTTCGGTTCGTAAATTAGATTAGGATGACAACTGAATTTTTATTCACGCAAAGTGAATTGTCACTCGTCACTAGCGAACTGAAAATTAACTCTCCGCGCTTGCGCAGTCAAACGTCCAGTTTTCTAATTCCGCAGGTGACAGTTTTTCCACTACCGTTTCCAATAAAATTTCGCTCACTTGCTCGCCCGAATGACTTTTCACTCGTTCCGAATGAGGTTCTGTCCCGTGAAATTCTGAGAGCACATGCCGCTCTCTCTCTCTCTCTTTCAAAGTGAAATATCCGTCCTTTTTCAGTCTGCGACCCGATTCCGCGGTCTGTATTAAAATGTGACTCGCATCTCGAAAGCCAACAAAATATCACCAATGGCCCGACGAACTTTCGCAGACGCCTAACGGTCACTTATTATTCGTTACTTGTCAATTATCTACATTTGTTTGTCATTTACTTCGTACACCTCGTATATTTATACTCTGTCGCTCTCTCGCGATTTTACCCGATTTTATGCGCCGTTCCATCTTTGAAGATTCGCTATCGCCGTCGGGTTCTTACCCTCGCGTTCAGTTCGCTCGACTCTTCCGAGACACCGTGTACATCGGGGGGACCGCTTTGGGCCGCGGACCCGGCGCGGTGCTCGACAGAATCGAGTTCTCGCTCCTTTATCCGCGGCTTCCGCCGGCTCGCTCGATAGAACGCGAAAACCCACGAGAGGCATCGCTTATACAGAAGAACGGCTTCCGCCGTGTCATGAACCGCGTTTGGACCGCGTCCAAGTCGAAAATCGATTGACCCCCAAACCGATCGGCGGGGGGGGGGGAGGAGAGAAGAGTCGTCCCCCACGGTCTTATCTATCATGCGTTCTCTCTTCCTCGTGCAACGAATTTACTTTCCATTCCTCATACGCGCCGCGTAAAATTCGCTGTCTCGCCGGACATGCTTTCGCTCGATCGCGTACTTCGCAACTTCTGCGCGTGTGTCCGCCTGTAGAATGGATAAGCATCGATGAAGAGGAGAGGAGGAGAGAAGTTAATGGGAAGGAAGTTATGGACGTAATGGACGATGCGACATTTATACCCGCTTAATAGCGATCACGGACGATCTTAGATTGTAATTATGCGAATTATCGCGTTATGTACGCGCACACGCACCGTTCGCGCTCGCGGATGTCACGAAAGGCCCGGGTATAATGGAGCATTGTAAATAACGCCTTTAATACAGTGTGTACACACGATGACAGCCACCGCCGTCACCGTCGTCGACGACGACGACGACGACGACGACGACGAGGAGGACGGCTGTTTCACGGACGGATCGCGTGTGCGTCGCGAGTTTACGACTCTCGCGACGTATAGCCGAGATAATGCTGGCCACTTAATTTTAATCGAGATACGCCGTCTACTTCGCGTGTTCGCAGTCACAAAAATGTTGTCTAATTAATGCTGCGAGAAAGCTCGTCCCTGTATTGTCAAAAACCGTCGGAAGAGAACGTAATTATACCGCGTGGTGCATGCTGCTTCCACGAGCATACTCGCGTTTTTCCCGCGAGATCAACTTCGAACGAGCACGAAGAGGCAGTCCAACTCGATTATCGCGGATATCGCGAAAAATCGCTCGAACCTGCGCAAACGAGTCGCGCAACTTTCGGATTGGTTAAAATGTTGTCGCGGCAGTATCGCGCGAATGCAATTTGCGGTGCGATCGACTCGTAAAACTGCAACGTGGAGTAAATATTCATGTGTAGCTGAGAGTTACAAGTTGCAGCCGCGGTTGACTGTTATTTCGAATGCGTCGTCGTCAGCGAGGCGTATGTGGTATACGACGACGCATCCAGTTTCCTTGGAGAACCGGTCCCCTCGACGACGCGAGATTAAACCCAGATCGATCCTCTTTCTCTCTCTCTCTCTCTCTCTCTCTCTCTTGCTCTCTCCCTCCACCCGCACGTGTCAGTCTGGCGTTGCGCAATCCGCGTCCCTGCCCGTCTTGCGCAATAGCGACGTATCGCTTCGGAATCTGAATTATCAAATCAGCGCAATATGAGATACTTACGGTGCACGACGCTTGGCAGTCGCGGCCACAATAATCGACGACGAATCGTACACGAGCTCAAGCTCGAGCTCGCGAGTAGAGAATACAACGTTGCGCGCGTTCTTTGAACGTGCGCACTAGGCGAGCCGTGTAATCTCGTAATTACTGAACTTACTCAACGAGCCGTTACGCGAAAAATGTGTGAAGAACGGCGGTTATTTATAAATTTCAAGAGACCGCGATATCGATCGCGCCGCCACTGAGACTGGGACTTCGCGGGGTATCGTTATCGCGATGTCAAATAGTCGAGTATCTGTCAGCAAAAAGCCGCAGATAAAAGAGGTACGTCGCTCTCTTGTTTGAATTTGGAATTAGCACGGCGTGAGACGCGGCTGAAAATCTTTTACCTGCCCCGAATTGTCGCGAGCATTTATATAAAATTAGTTAAATAATCAAAATGTTGTATACTGCAAGGAGGAGAGGAGGAGATAGAGAGAGAGAGAGAGAGAGAGAGAGAACATGTCGCAATCCCGTAATTAAAAGCAAGCTTTTCACCGGTGCCGAAATATTTCTCTCATTTGGCAGAGTGCCCTTTTTATAAAAAATTAAATGACATTTTTCTCGGAGTTGGGT